CAAGCATGGCTTATTAACGTTTTAATTTTCACAACCCTTGGCCAAGAAGAACGGTTGCAGTAGCTCTCCTTGCAAACTGCACAACAGACCACAGCAGCTGCTGTCATCCTGCTCTTCATCCCGCCCTCTGTACTTCATCCAGAATGTGATCTGCAGACCAAGCACTTGGATGAACTTTGATTCATCTGGGCTTGTAGCAGAATGACAGCCAATATCCTGCTGTGAGCTTCTCAAGAATAAATACAAAAGGGGTAGCTTCTCTCTCTCTCTCTCTCCCTCCCTCCATCTCCCTCCCTCTTTCTCTCCTCTTCCTCCCTCCCTCCGTCCCTCTTTCTCTCTCACACACACATACACGCACGCACACATACACACCTATTTAAGCAAGGCAACTATAGGGAAGCAGCTGTGTCTGGAATGGGATCTCTCTAGCCAGGAGAGAGAACTTGGACAGAGTTTAAACAAACCTATCTTGAAACTGAATAATTGGCTTCACTGCTCTGCATACTTTTGCCTGCATATTACGTTACTTACGGAGTCAACAGCTCACAATGGGAATCCTTAAGCTGCACCACATTTTTAAGGTGCCAAGTAGGGACTTAAAAGCCCAAGTCAGCCTCAGGAAAAGCTCATGGGATTCATCTCTGGCCCAATACTTGTGTCAATAGTACACGTTACAAACATTTCGTTAATGACCTACGTCTACCACCACGCTTGAGGCACTAATGAAGATGAACTGAAAGAGTCATAAGTAGTGTAGCAACTTTGAGCCGAAAAACCAACCATCACACACAGCTTCAGGGTCTATGGTTATGCACGATTCCCAGCATCAGTCATGTAGGTAAATGGATTGTGTGTGTGTGTCACAAACACAAACACACTAAACCTGGAGAGTATCCCTACTTTTCAGCACTGGAATCAAGATGGATATGTTCACATGTATAAAGTGAGGTGTTGAGAGTGAAGAGCTTCTCTCTCTCTCTCTCTCTGTGTGTGTGTGTGTGAAGGCATATAACTCACAAGATACAAAATACGTTTCTGCTTGTTACTGATGCAAAGTCAGTTTCCGCTTTTTA